GTGACAAATTGTAGGATGATGAGAATACCATGGACGAAGCATGTGAGCAACGAGGAAGTTTTACATTATACTTTTATTTTACTTATACATAGAATCAGAAAAATACAAGCATCGGAGATGTGCTTCTACAGAAGAAGGTTGAGAATACCATGGACGGAGCATGTGAACAATGAAGAAGTTTTAAGGGAAATGGAAACTAAATGAAAACTTTTACTTAGAATCAGAATGAAACAATTAACATTTCTGTGACGCGTAATGAGGAATGAGAGCTTGAAGAATTTAACACTCACAAGACATACTGAAGGTAAGAGAGAATTGCAGAACAGGGACTGAGAGAAGAATAGTAAGGCGACAAATATTACTTAAACCTACGAGGTTATGGAGAGACATGATCGCCCAAATCTTGTAGAGACAAGGCATATAAAAGAATAGATAAAACTAAGATAAAAATACCTTTCACTGAGAATATTGAATATTTTCAAGTCGTTTAATGATGTCATCAATTCGTCCATACTTTCCTTTCATAAATTTCTACAAATTTCTTTGCTTTCTCTCTTTCTTGTTACTCCAAATTATCATTGAACAATGTTCACCTTGAATAACTCATATATCGTTCATTGCTGTTAATGAGATGTATTTATTTATATGCACTGACACACAAAGTCTCTCTTTTCTGATATTTTCATGTTAGAAAATGAAACCGATCGTATTTGTTTGTGCTAAATGTAAACCATTCAGCAAAATAATGATAAGAATTTCTTATGAATATAAAATGAGTTATGTGTAGATAATGAAAGACCGTATTATATGTAGTGTTACAAACTTTGGTCACATGAAGGTTATATGTAGCTTAGAGATCCATCAATTCCTAAAGGATCAAGCTGTACAAGATCGTTATATCTGGAAAGACTTAATGAAATTCATTAAGTTAATTAATTAACTTAACGTAAAATTCCCGCAAAAATTAAATGTTTTAACACATTTTAAAAGCTAAAGATTTATATTAAAGTTGCTTTATTATATAAATTAGAACGTCTTTTTTTAGAACATGGCGATCTTTTTTTCATGTTTGTCGGAGTGCTAAAGGCTAAACAAAAGCAATAAACACGTTCTTTATAATAACTTTTCTGATGATAACTGACCAATTGTTATTGGCGTAAAATCATTTTTCTCGACATGCGAATTTTATAAAAAATATACATAGAAAATAAATAACAGAAAATAGACAGAGAAATATATTTTTCCCGTTTTTTAATAAAATGTCCCTGCCTTTTTTTTTAAATTGTGAAATTAACGTCTACTGGCCTAGGTCATCAAAAATCTTATCAAAGAAAATGTGTCCCTCGGCAGGGATTAAACTTGCATTCTATTTATCTGGAAAATCAGTTGTAACCCAGGTGTACCTTCACAGTTCAGCTACGGAAGTCCATACTGCAAAGCAAGGCTCAATTACCGTTCATAGTTTTCAGTGAAATGAGACACAACAAAAATCTGTACAACTAAAACGAATCAATTTCATGCCGCTAGCTCATGCGGATACATTTTTACCTTTGAACTATCTATAAGGTATAAACTTTCTTATATCGGGTCCAATAAAAATGCTTATTTTCAGCTTTTTATGTCTTTGTAACAAATCTTATTTTAAGTACTTGAATATGCAAACGGTCGTGTGCCACTGCTTTTACGAAGTACTACATAAGGCCCAGTTTGATGTGAAAGGTGGAAGAAAGATATTCTGCGTGTCTAACAAACTTTTGCTGTTTTATTAAGTTAATATTTTCCAAATAAAATTGGTATTAGCTAACCAAATTTTCCGGTTATATTTATATTCTGAAAGTGTTGGTTAATATCAGTCTTGTTGTGAGACATTGACTTGCATCATAAAATCTGACATCGTGTCCATAGGTCCCGACCCACACTGAGTTCATCTTTTTTACAGCCTAATGATTGTTGTGATCGCCACTGACTGATAGACACGGGAAGCAGATATGTTTGGTATATCCCAACTGCAGTCCCAGGATGAGAGAAATCACCTTTTGATTACCAAACATATTCCTATGTTTCTTTTCAGAACGATTTCTATTAGATATTTCTGTAAGACAAAGTATATGACTCACAGGATTGCAAGGTTTCTCATTACAATCACGAAAGAGCACAACTTTGAGGCTAACGTCACACAAGTCTTAAAACCTGTTAATGTTCATGCTTAAAAATAACGATCTGCCTGTATATTCTTAGGACATTAGTAAATATATATATACAGACGATACCACGGGTTATGGATGTACCGCCAAAAATCTAAATGACCACAGACTCTAAACTTTCTGATGAACGGTTGAACTCTTAACGAAGCTCCTTGCTTTGAACGTCTGTTGAGACTCAAACTCACTGCAGACTTCGTGGAACGCGTATATACGATCCACCCAAGAAAACTAATGACTTCTGATATGATCTACTGTTACAAGAGTCAAAACAGGCCAAAAGCCCTATCTGATTTAGAGCTGGCTAATCCACACTATCCAACTATGACAGATTTCAGGAGCATTTATGCGGCCTTGTGGATAATGAATTAATTTCCACCTACAACCCCTTAGCCACAGACCCAAAATTGCTAGCTTCTTGCTTCTCTGTTGCTATTTTCATGTCAAATTTTTAGACGAACTGCATTCTTTAATTCCACCAGTCTCAGATCTTCATATCTAGGATGCCATGTGACTTGTATATGAAGCCGACTCATCCTCATTCATTTCGTATTTCGTTGGTAAGGAGGAAATTTCACTTAAAACAGCTTCTTCACCAGAACACGATCACTATGATCTTAGCCTCTCCAATCTCTAGGGTCAACCGTTATCTATCGTACATGTAATATGCACTTCTTACTTTCTCCCTTTATGCTCTCTACCTCAAAGCCTTGTACTGAGTGAACAATACTATTAAAAACGTATAATCTGAAAAATATTTCTATTAAGACAAATCATTTTTATAAGACAAGGTCTCGACAAACATGCACATAGCACAAAAAACTGACTTGATAAAACAGTACAGATTCGAAATCAGCTGACTCGTTTTAATCTATAACAAACCTTTTTTTTTTTACCTTAGGAGCAAAATCTTTGTTGACCAATGTTATTTCTACTATTATGAATATTTGACTATTTTGTTTGGTTTGATAAAATTCGGATCATTTTTATATTTAATGTACGACATGAGTTTTGCGATAAAAAAAAGGAACAGAAATCTGATGAAGTATAAAAAATAACAACAAGGGCAATGCTTCATTAAAGAAATTCGGACATCAGAAGAGTATTTGATCATTACACATCTGTCCAAAATCAGAATACAAAGAATAAATAATACACCTCTCGTTTAGGTTATAATTGTTACAATTTATGGAAAAAGTGGAAAACGTATTCAGATCGTTACTGTAAGATAATAATTATCAAATTTCAAATCAATTTAAAATGCTAAATTTATCAGAAAACATATTGAAGGAGTCATTAAATGATTTCAAAGAGCTGCGCATTTTGTCATATACTATTTTCCTCTTAACCAGAGGTTGTTGAAAGGAAGATTAGTTCTTACGATAAAGATTTCCATTTCAGTCTTATTTAAACTGTATGTGCATGCACATTTGCCTGTGCACATGTATATTTTAATTCAATGAGTGACATAAAACTATTTCTACACAATTAAAACAAAATCTATAAAATTAATTTTATTTATTACCGAATAATTTCCGAAAAGTTCAATAAAATATTACACTTGTCTGATTGTTTTAGATTTTTAAAATTATTTGTTTTCTTTTGTTTCTTTTTTATCCCCAAATTTATGATTTTATTGTTCAGGCCAAGGTAGTTGCTGTCCAGACTGAGTTAGAAAGGAATGTATTAGTCCAATGTTTTATTTCAAGCTTAATCATATTTTGTGTGCGTGTGCTTGTACTTTTGTGTGAATTAAATGGTACAAGTACACGTAAATCACTCACGTACAACACAGACATATACATGTACATTACATATGTGTATGCAAAGTCACGCGTAAACATTTATAATATAAATAAATATTACTAACAACTTGGAACTGAAACGCTTGGTTTGGTAAGCCCTTAAACTAGAGGAAATTAATTTCAAAATCTCCATGAAAATTCTGGCAGACGAATTATTTTTCTTCGTAAGAAAAATAACTTTTGTCAAAAACAATCAGCTGAGTGTTGTAACAAAACAGTTAAAGGCTTCATGATCAATGCTCTTTAACAATTTGCATGTCTGGAATAATTCTTTAACTTGTTTCCAGTGTTTTATGCATGGAGACGTTAGATTAAAAGCTCAACATATCACATGAAAAATTTTTGAGAAATGTGAAATAAGATTTCGTTGTGTATAGCGTTTGGGTAGGAGGAACATATCGATTTGAAATTAATTTTCATAATTTTTTTTTGTAATTTGTCACTATTTTTTTTAAATTTTGTTTCCATGCGATGTCAGATGGTCTCAAATGTGCAATCTATTGTATTCATTACATTCTGAATGAAAAGGAGGTCCTAATGAACCTATTTTGGCATTTATAGTCTAGTCTATATAGATTTATATTGGGAACAAAGTCAAACAGTGCTATGTGTAAATATTTATCAGTTTATGCACACATGAGCAGAATAGACATTGGAAACGTAATAAATTTCAAGAACAGATTATTATTCCATTGTGGTATGTAAATCCCACACAGTTATGTAATAATTAAAATTTCTTTCTCTCTCTCTCTCTCTCTCTCTATTTAAATATCTTTTATGCTCAGATCTCATAAATCAGATTCCTAAATAAACTTCAACCATTCCTATTAAGAAAAATATCTCCACATTTATTTCTTTGTTTTACTAATCAGTATATTTTGAATGCAATTTTGAATTCCCAAAGGTAATTGCGCGTAAGTTAATATAACGAACCCAACGGGAATTGGAACTCTCTGATTAACACTCCAGAGTTATGATCCACTATTTCATCCGCACAGCACCTGGTATTCCCAAGCGGTCACTCATCTAGATACTGATCAGGCGCGATATTGCTTAACTTCGGTGATCGTACGGGAACTGGTGTTTCAACGTGATATGGCCGTAAGTCTCCTACAGTAATAAATCCAAATACTGTAAACTCTATTTGGAAGAGAAAATAGCTATAATCCTTTTCCCAGAGCGACACAAATTACTAAACTAACGATTAGAATTTATCTCAAAATGCAGACACGAAACAAATTTTTACTACATTAATAAAAATCGAAAACTAAAAACGTTGTAAAATACCATCACGAAAAATGCAAATATATGCGCTATATACAACGTAGATAATGTAACATACTTTAGACAAAGTCAATACTTTAAACTGAGCAATTAAGATAACCAACCCCCAAAAAGATTAGAATAAATAAAAAATCTAAATAAATAAACAAATTAAGTAATCATTTATTTAATTTGTACTTAAACAAAATTTAAGTTTTACTTAATAAGTTTTACTTAATTTTTGTATTTAAACAAAGTTCGAATGATCGCAGAGACACAAGTAAATGTAATAAGAATAAACAACAAATAATAAAGTAATCAATAAAAAAATGAGTAAAACTTAACAAACAACACTATAAAATATTTACAAATAACCACATTCGGATACATAATTATTTCTACTCAACAGCCTCTAGAATAATTTGGAATATAACCGTTACCGCCTACACAATAACTGTTAGGATAATACAATAGACCTTGTTATCCATAATGCACCATTGACCAGCATATATAGTCAAACCAAAACACATGGCCTGAAGATTACGTTCACGCATGAAACAAACTGTTGCCACTCGGTTTTGACTTCCGTGTTCACTTACATATATATATATATGTGTGTGTGTGTGTGTGTGTGTGAAACAAAGATTAACCTTAGCCAAAAAATGGTCGACCAGGATATTTTTGGAAGATAACGTTTTTAGGCAAGCAGTGTTTGTAATTACAATGCTTAATATCGAAGGATATAACATTAACAATGATTATAATAAATAAAATATTTGCTTATTTCTACTAGGAATTTACCAGATCCCGAAATGCACATATCAGGCGACAAAATATTTTTTAAATTTATTTTCATATCTTTCTTAAAATACGTTATGTCGTAAAATTATTTGAAGTTCTTTTTCTTAAAAGACGTTAGTTTGTCAAGTAAGCTTATTTGAGTTTACTCGTAAACCAGATATTCATGCGAACTTTGAGTTATGTGTGCAGCAAATTATTTCCATTTTAGATAAGGTTGCGTAAACCTTTTTTTTCGAAATAAATTGTGAATGTGATAAACGGTTTTTGCTATTTATAGCTTTTTATATATTATATTTAGCTTAGTATTTGTTAAGGATTTATGTTATATTGTCGTTATATTTATTAAAAATCATAGTAGGTTTATCAAGAACTGGTTGTTGTCAATGCGGTAGACTTTGGATCATTTTGAATCCTAGAAACAGGACCGGCGCTAGGGTCTCATCCCACCTATACTGCATGTCGATTTCAAAGTTTTCCAACCTCCGGGCCACAAACCCTCTAAGGAAAATTGGGGCAGAAGGGAAGTGCTTTTTTAAATTAACCAAAATCAGGGAATTATCCAATTTAAATAAAAAAATTCAGTACATAATCCTTTCCTTTTATACTGAATATTTTTTTTATTTTAAAAAATTAGAGAAAATACTATTCTTTTTGTAATAACCAGTAATATTTTCATGACTAAATTTTATCGAAAAAGAAAGGTTTAAGTCGCAATTTTTTACATTTCCATAAAGATTAATCGCCGATGCATCACCGTTGAAAAAAGTTTTACAAAGGTTCAAACACAAAGCATGAAAAAACATCGCCGACATTTTTTTGTCAATGATTTGACTTCATGTAATTCCAAGAGCATTTTTAATTTTTCACAGAATAAACGGGATTGTCGTAAAAATTTGTTTTAAAAACAATATTTAAGTTTTCAGGAAAATTTTTCATGCGTTGAATCTTTAAACATTTTTATTTTTTAAGCGATCATTTTCTCGGTTTTATCTTTCTAGAAATGTAAAAAATAGGCACTAGAAATTTTATTTTAATTACTAGCCGTGTATTTCCAATTAGTATTATTAATAAAAAAAAAAAAGAAATCCTCTTTAGTGGATGATTTTACCGAGATATATTAGCCTCTTAAAATGATTTAAAAGAACTGTTGAGAAAGAAAAGTACAATTTAAAAAATTAAGCGCAACTGAAATTAGCACTTCTGCCCGACCTCCCCAGTAGGCATAACCCCCACCCCCCAACTCACGGTTGAGAGGTTCGGGGTAGTAACCACCAGCCCTGTCGATTATTATAGATGATGATTGACAATATAACTTATGTAGAAAAAAGTAAAAAGTACAAAAAGCAACAAAACGCGGCTGAAACTCTAGCCCCTTTTGGGCTTCAGCCTCGTCGGGAGTTCCTGCGTAGTAACGCACCGCACCGGCCAGGCAGATAGACGATGTATATTATTAGTTGATGACTGACAATGTAACGTCAATTTAAAAATAATGATAATAAATGACCATAACACAGTGTTGAAAAAATGACACAACAGGGTCCCCAATGAAATGCTCCTAACCCGGTCGGGTGTTTCGGGAGTAAGACGAAACGGTCCTGCCTAGTGATCAAACAAAAGAAATTAAAACACCAGTATGTACCCGCCAAAAATCTTCTTCACTGCACTGGCAATATGTGGTTCTTGATAAAAGAAAGCAACTGAAGTAAAAATATAACAAAGCATAAACTTCGGACAGTTTATTCACAGTTTAATCTTGATATACAATTTATTCGAAAATTGAGAAAAAATTAAACAGAAAACAGACCTTGTCAGTTAATAAAATTTGTTTTTGTACACACACACAAACATACAAACACACATACGCACACTCATTGGTACACAGGCATTTATATATATATATATATATATATATATATATATATATATATAATTATTTTTATAAAAAATTATAACATAAGTATGTTATAAAATCACTACAAAAATAGCCATTTTGTTTCAACACACTCTGTGTCTTATCAAGTGATGATGTTGAAAATTTTCAACATCATCACTTGATAAGACACAGAGTTTTTTGAAACAAAATGGCTATTTTTGTAGTGATTTTATAACATACTTATGTTATAATTTTTTTTATAAAAAATAATTATATCTGCTCTACTTTGTATTGAGCACTCTTTTAAGAATAGTAATTGTTGGTTATTGGAATTCATTCCGTATATACCAATTATATACTTATATATATATATATATATATATATATATATATTCATTTATTCAAACATGTATTGAATAATATAGAATATTGTTTCTACTTATTTTATACTGATCCTTTCCAGTTGTTTTGATGTTGAGATGAAGTTCATCAAAGAGAGCGCCGTAGTTTTTATAACCCATTCGACCTTTTCTGAGATCACCTACAGGGGTAAATCACAAAGACAAACTTAATGTAACTGAGATAAAATCTGAATTCCGGAAAAATTCACACACACACACACACACGCATATATATATATATATATATATATATATATATAGTACAGGTAATAATCCGTTGGTATATAATCCAAGTGGATCCTGATAATATGAAATATTAAAACTGACCCACAAAAAGAGCTCAATGTATTTATTATAACAGAGCATAAAAATTACAAAATAGAGAAATTCAAAATTACCTCACGAGAATATCTGTTTCAACTAACGTTACGCTAGTATTTTTCAGCTCAAATGTGTAGATACAAAATTAGAAACTTAAAAATTAAATATTTAAAGAAAAGCAAGAAGACGCAGCCGTTGACAATACGATATTGAAACCCTTATAATGGTAGTTCACAAAGTTGACCCGGATTTTAATTCCACCACCCCAGGTTAGGATTATGAAAGAAACCGAAGAGAAATCAAGTTATGGTCGGAAAAATTTAAAAAAAAAAAAAAAAAACAAGTTAAAAAAATTAAAAATATATAATAAATTAATGGTTATAAAACAAAAAGCAAAAAAGATTTTTCCTGTAAAAATTACCAAAAATATTCAAACAAATAATAAAAGATTAACAATAAATCTTAATTAGATAGTTCATATTAAATCTCAAAAAAATATAATTAAAAAATAACTGACAAACTATTGATTACAACCTGTGTCAATCTTTGGAAGGATTCGTCAGATACTATCAAATGCTTCGCCAATATGAGTGATAAGAATAGATCTATCTTTATTAAGTTTGATATTATAGACTTTTATTCCTCTAACTCCAGAGACCTCTTAGTGGATTGTATCAACTTTGCGAAAAACCATATGAAGATAACAGATGATGAGATTAATATAATCTTAACTGCTAGGAAATCACTGTTAGCATTTAACGATTCTACCTGGATTAAGTGGCAAAATGACAATTTTGATGTTCCTATGGGAGCATATGATTGAGCCTGAGTTTCTAATCTAGTTTGTTTCCATATTTTAGATATAATTTGTAGAATTGTAGATCTTAAACTAGTAGGCCTATATAGAGATGATGGACTTATTTTTGTTCCCAATAGCAATGGTTCACTTACTGTGAATTTCCAGAAGAAAATTATTAAAGCCTTCAAGTTACTGGAGTTTAAGATTGAGATTGCTTCTAACCTCAAAATAGCAAATTATCTAGATACCATCCTTAATCCTAATAATAATACTGCTAAACCTTACCATAAAGAACATGAAATCCCCAACTATATTAATGTTGATTCTAGCCACCCCTATGACATTGTGAAATACATACTCATTACTGTCGGCCCTAGAATTATTAAACTTGTCTAGCATAAATATGTTTAATAAAAATAAATAACTGTAAGTAAATGTTCTCTATAAACGTGGCTTTAAAAATAAACTATCCTACTTAAACCTCATAAGTAACACTGAAGCATCTAAAATGGGTTTTAAGCACAGAAACAGAAAAATAAAAATTATATGGTTCACCCTCCTCACTTCTGTAAATTATCCAATACTAATATCGGACAGCATTTTCTGAAGTTAATAAATAAACATTTTCACAAAAAGAATCTTCTAAG